GAACATCGTCACGCTTTAAGATTCTCTGCATTTGGAATTTAGTCTTGCACGTGAAATGTAAGAGATCAAGGCCACCGCTAGTAGATATTGTCCTCTTTGGGGTTTCCTTTCGGGCTTCCCCTCAAGGTTTTTAAAACACGTCTACTAGGGAGAGGTTTCCACATTTGACCCCCCTTCGAGGCTCACCATGCTCTCTAGCACTCGTTCCCCTCTCCAGTCGACGTGGGATCTCACAATCCCCCCTCTTCGGGACCCAGTGTATTCCCTGACACTTGTTGGTCTCTCAAATCGATGTGGGATCTCACAATCCACCTCCCTTCGGGGCCCTGCGTCCTCGCTAGCACACTGCCCGGTGTCTAGCTCTGATACCATTTGTAATAGCCCAAGCCCACGGCCAAATGTTGTCCTTTTTGGACTTTCCCTTCCGGGCTTTCCCTCAAGGTTTTAAAACGTGTTTGCTAGGGAGAGGTTTCCACACTCTTTATAAAGAATATTTCGTTTCCCTCTCCAATCGATGTGGAATCTCACAATCCCACCTCCCTTCGGAGCCCAGCATCCTCGCTGGCTAACTGCCCGGTGTCTGGCTCTAATACTATTTGTAACAGACCAAGTCCACCGCTAACAGATATTGTCTTCTTTAGGCTTTCCCTTTCGGGCTTCCTCTCAAGATTTTTAAAACGCGTCCGTTAGTGAGAGGTTTTCATACCCTTATAAAGAATGTTTCGTTCCCCTCTCTAACCGATATGGGATCTCACAATAAAGTAATGACATGTATTTCATTGAACTAAATAGAGTATTACCATTTCGTGACGTTGCTCGATTTCCACTGCCAGATAAAAGAAACTGCAGAAAATGTCGATTTGGCAGCTCGAGAACTTCCCGACGCCAATTTGGTACGATGAATCCTTATGCATTTCTTGCAACAATTTGAAGTTTCTTTCTGTTTCTCACAAGAAATTTCTGCGACCTACAGACACCAGATGATTTATGGGCAAATCATTCTAAGATGGTTCAACCTAAACCTCACAGAAAGGATAGTCCTTCCTGGAAAGCTATCCAGAAGGTAATGTTTTTACATAATAGTATATAAAAGTGAACCAAGAAACATGAATTGCTGGTATTAATCTGTTTATGAGGCTCACAATTTCCGCTATCTCCGCTATCGTTAACAGATGTTGTCCTCTTCTGTTACAGATTTTAGACAGCGGAGAACAGATCGAACTGAAACATTTCAAGCCAGTCAAACCTTTGGGATCCGGCGATACTGGCAGGTTTGTGTTGTTTCTATCCCGTTTATATCGGTCGTATTCTGAATCGATCGCCGTTATTTTAGCCGACTGGTATCAATAAGGAAGCACCAATCATTGTTTACATTGTTGGCTGCAGCGTGCATTTGGTAGAACTGTGTGGAACTGATCAATTTTTTGCAATGAAGGCAATGGATAAGGGTGTTATGCTCAACCGTAACAAGGTTTTGAATACATTTTCATTGGTTCATGTTAGAAATTCTATTACGTTTCACTTTGCTTTCGGTAACGAACGAGGCCTTAATACGTTCAGGTGCATCGAGCTTGCGCCGAGAGGGAAATACTCGACATGTTGGATCATCCTTTTCTTCCTGCATTATACGCGTCGTTTCAGGTTAGGAAGTACAATATATGCAAAGAAATTGATATATATTTAAGTTAAGCCTTGCTTCTTCTGGTGGGCTCGTATTAGCCTGTGCTTTAGTATAGGTAGTTGTTTTCCTCGTTCCTTTGGTCTTTTCAATGGTAGCTTGTTCGTTATTACGTTCTCGTTCGTTTTTATGGTCTGATAAATTAAATTCTAAAGTTTGAGCTATTTTGCAGACAAAAACACATGTTTGTCTTATAACTGATTACTGTCCTGGTGGAGAACTGTTTCTGCTTTTGGACAGACAGCCCACAAAGGTCTTGAAGGAAGATGCTGTGAGGTAACATTAAGCCAAATCATGGCGTTCTAACACTCATTATGTCTCACTGATGTAAAATGACCAATGAATGTAGGTTTTATGCTGCTGAAGTTATCGTCGCATTGGAGTACCTTCATTGTCAAGGTAAGGTCGGGTTTGTGTGAGATCCCACATCGGTTGGAGAGGGGAACGAAACATTCTTTATAAGAGTGTGGAAACCTCTGCCTAGCAGACGCGTTTTAAAATCTTGAGGGCAATCCCGAAAGGGAAATCTCAAAGAGGACAATATCCGCTAGCAGTGGGCTTGGGCTGTTACAGCTTGTGATGGAGAAAGTGAAAAGTGACCCTTCAAGTTTCTTGCTCTGAATTTTACGTGTCGTTTCAGGGATAATTTACCGGGATCTAAAGCCCGAGAATGTTCTACTACAAGGCAATGGACACGTTGCCTTGACGGATTTCGACTTGTCATGTTTGACGTCTTGTAAACCTCAGGTATTCCAATTGTTCAACATCAATTATATTTGAAGAGTGTAAAGTTTTCATTTACAAATCATAGGACTTCTCTTGATGTGAATTCTGCAATTCTGCAGCTTTTGCTTCCAACAACAAATGAGAAGAAAAAACAATCAAGAGCTCAACAGGCTCCCGTCTTTATGGCCGAACCTATGCGAGCATCGAACTCCTTTGTCGGAACCGAAGAGTACATAGCACCGGTTTGTATTAGCAAACGCCAAACTTCGACTCCAAAACAACAAATACTATAACATTTGTTCATTTTCATGAAACTTCAAACTCCGATTTTTTCTCGTTTTTACGTGTTGTGAATGTGTAACTCGTCGAGTTCTATATCGTTTTCGGTGTTGAATTCTTGCAGGAAATTATTACTGGGGCTGGCCATACTAGTGCAGTGGACTGGTGGGCTTTGGGTAATTTTCATTATGCTCTTTTCTTATTGAAAATATTTGAGGATTATATTTGAATTCCCTTTACTTATGTTCCCTTGTGGCTTACAATTCAGGTATCCTTCTATATGAGATGCTCTATGGCTACACACCCTTTAGAGGGAAGACAAGGCAAAAGACTTTCGCTAACATTCTTCATAAGGATCTTAAGTTTCCAAGAAGTATATCGGTAAAGACTTTCGAAGTATCTGACCCTTTACTAACTGTTCCTAATATAGAATGTGAGGTCTCATATCGGTTGGAGAGGGAAACGAAACATCCCTTATAAGGGTGTGGAAACCTCTCCCTAATAGACTCGTTTTAAAACTGTGAGACTGACAGCGATACGTAACGGGTCAAAACGGACAATATCTGCTAGCGGTGGGTTTAGACTGTTACAAATGGTATCAGAGCCTGACACTAGACAGTGTGCCAATGAGGAAGCTGGGCCCCTAAGAGGGGGTGGATTGTGAGATCCTATATCAGTTGGAGAGGGGAATGAACCACTCCTTACAAGGGTGTGGAAACCTCTTCCTAATAGACGCGTTTTAAAACTGTGAGATTGACAGTGATACCTAACAGGCAAAAGTGGACAATATCTGCTAGCAATGGGTTTAGGTTGTTACAAATGGTATCAGTGCCTGACACCGAGTGGTGTGCCAGCGAGGACGTTGGGCCTTTAAGGGAGTGAATTGTGAGGTCCCACATCGGTTGGAGAGGGCAACGAAGCTCCCCTTATAAGGGTGTGGAAACCTCTTCCTAACACACGCGTTTTTTAAAACTATGAGGCTGACGACAATACGTAACAAACAATATCTATTAGTGAAATCCTCTCCTTTTAATTGAAATACATTTAAGTCTTCTATTTTCTTATGTTTCAGGCTAGTCTCAGTGTGAAGCAGTTAATCTGTAGGTTACTGCATAGAGACGCCAAAAACCGATTGGGTTCTCGAGAAGGAGCGAATGAAATCAAACGACATCCTTTCTTCCGAGGCGTTAATTGGGCGCTCGTTCGATGCATGGTAAACTACAAACACAATCTCAAAAGAGCTTACTTCACCTTCTACTGATGAAAATATTGAATATTTTATCATCATGTTCATGAAGAAGCTTCATTTCATAACATATCTGGTTATTTTTCAGCATCCTCCCGAGCTCGAAGCGTCTCTTTTCCAGACCGTCGAACCCGAAAAAGATGCTAATAATAAAGCTCCAGATTTGGATGTAAAAGCTCTTGACCTCAGTGTGTTCTGATGATCATAAGTTTCCTTGTTGGTTCTGATCAAAATCACCTTCCTAGTTCTGCAGCATTGTGGACCGTTGGATCGCTTTAGCTTGTGAAATTTTGTTTGGCTTCAAAGCTTTAAATTTTTTAGTGCTTATTTAATCTTTTTGCCCAATGTAATAAGAATGTTGTAATGTAATGGTGGTTGGTGAAATAATCTCCTCTGCCTCCTTTTTTAATAATTTTGTTGGTCTGAGTTATTTGTCATTGTCATTTGTTGACTTTTATGCCCTGTAAAATTAAAAATAAATAAATAAATATATTTTTATTTTTTCGAGTACAGTTAACCTTTTGACTTCAAGTAAGTCAACTATAGTTAAACTATGTACAAGTTGATAATCAATAAATAGACTTCTAATTAAATAGAATATATCTTACCCATAAAAATCTTACATTATCTTTTCGTCTGTATCACATAAAACATGATAAATTGATTAAAACTGAAATAATGAGATGTAAACCTATTTACTGATAAATAAATTTAGATATAATTATGTAGATAAAATACTAATTATTATTTTAACGTAGGATTCTTCCTTAGATTTTTTAACTAAAGAAAAAATCATTAATAAATATTAACGTAATAAATACATACAGATATTTCTCTGTATTCATGTATTTGACATCAACCTCATGGTGGATTGATATTTTGATCATGTCATATAAAAATATATATATATAATAAGTATTTAAACTTATTATATATTTTTATTTTTTCTCTAGTAAGAAATAAGAAAAAAAAATTATTTTATTAAATTTTTATATATGCGTTTTTGTGTCATCAATAAAGAACATTTATAAAATGATATTAGTCGCTAATATATAATTTATAAAGTTAATCACTAGCGCAGTATATTTCCTTCTTCCCTTAAACCCTAAAACGCTAGGGAGGGGGCGATGAAGACCGTCACCGGAAGTATCGTTTCTTCGAAGCCAATCTCTATCTCAAAAGCGGCGTCCACTCTCTCCTCCTTTCTCTCCGTCGACAATGGCGCTTCGAAAGCAATCTGCGCCTATCTGAGACGCGCCTCCGCCTCTTTCAACGAGTTAAAGCAGCTCCACAAGGAGTTGAAATCTTCGCGGTCTGATCGGAAGCACCGGCATCACGGATCCGAGGCTTCAAACGATCCAGAGGCTTCCAGAGGTAATCCACATTGGATCGAAGACGACGAGAAGAAAAATCCTCTGTATCTAAGAGCAAAAGATGGAAGAAGCGGTAAGCCGAGTTTTAATGTTCAATCTGAGGATGGGAAGGATGGGAAGACGGAAAAGGAAAGCGGTGGGAGTGGTGATTTTGAGGATGCATCGGGTGAATACCGAAAGAGAAAGGTCGGGGACTTGAAAACTGAAATTGAAGATAAACCTAACCGAAAAGTAGAGATGGATGTGGAATCAAGTGATAAAGATAAGAGCGTTGTAGCAGTTGAGAAAAAAGGAAAAAAGCACAAGAAAAAGAGCGAGGATAGACATGCTAAGATTGAAGATGACGAACGCGAGGATGGAGCCAGGCGAAGTTACAGTAAATCTCGAAATAGTGATAACAATGGCGAAATTGAAGCTTCTGGGAAGTTCGTCGAGAACAATATCGCAAGCGGAAAAGATAGAAAGAAGCACGAGGACAAGAAGAGTTTGGGTGACGATAAGGATCAAGTAAAGAGTGAAGGTCAGAGAAGAAGAGACGCCGAGGAGGAAAAGAGCACAAACAAGGATAATGATGATGGAACAGAGTCGACCAAGAAGAAGAAGAAGAAGAAGAAGAAGAAGAACAGGGAAGAAGAAGATGACGATTTTCAGAACAACAGTGGAGGAGCTATGGTGAAAGAGGAAATCCCAGTTTCGGATGACAAAGAGTTGAAAAGGAAAGAGAAGAAAAAAAGGAAGAATCGAGGTTTAGAAGAAGGGGGTGATGATGGGTCCGAGGAACAACAGCGTACGAAGAGAAGAAAAGGAAATTTATGAGACAAGGAAGGATGAACTCACAGTTCTTGCTTCAGTTTACTAATTGCTATCAATGGTAATTGTTTGATGCTTTATTTCATCCTTCTATTTTGATTCTTTATACCAAAAGTATTATCAATCGCTTAGGAAGCTAATTTTGTGTTCATTCTTGTGAAATTTTGACATTAGAACCCTTCCCCTGACCCCTTCTGGTCAATGATTTATTTGTTTGAATTTGTAGCCTGTTGATCTCTGATGTTTATAGGGAAGAAGAACTGGGTGAAAGGCAACTTTTTGCAAAGAACATATAGAAGGTACATTATTTGATGCTTATTTATACAATTTGATCAAGAGATTGATCAGTCTGCATTGGCCAAAAGGTTTTGTGCTTGTATCTCATTGTGAAATTTGTTCTTCTTTGAGTCATCTGCTGACCAAACAAATATGCCATGAAGTTTGCCCCTACTTTGAAGGGTTCTGCATGCCTTGAAGAACCCTTTTTCTGGTGTCAAACCTCCACTTCCATCTGTTGCAAAGCTTGCTAGAACTTTACCACCTTGATAATTTGAGGTTTGGGTCTCAAAATGATTCAAAAACTGAGAAACTGTGGTCCCTTTTCCATAGGCATAGAACTGGAAGTTCACATAGTCTATTAGATCTCCATACTTCCTCCACAAAGCTAAGTAATGTGTTTGGACAGCGTCGTCGTCGAACGGTGCAATGGATGCAAATGAAATAACATTTTGACGTTTGAGACGGAGCAGGAGTTTCCCTATGCACTCGGTGAATACATCGGGGTGTGCTTTGAAGTGTTCGTAATCGATATCGACCCCATCTATATCATACTCCTTCACTATACGAGATATGGACTCGAAAGCATTTTTAACCCAAGATGTAATGGATTTAGGTTTGAAGTATGCAAATTGTTTGCCTGCCGTATCGCCCCCGAGGCTGAGGGCGAACTTGACGTTTGAATGCTGGGCCTTGATGGAAGAAACAGAAGAAGGCGATAGGATTTGTTCATCCCAAAAGACTCTGAATTTGCCATTTGTTGCAGAAGGAGAAGATGAAGCCGTGTAATCGATGGCGAAGGAGAGGATGAAGTGGAACTCGACATCGGGATGAATAGGTACGTCTGAAAATCTTACATTATTGCCATCAGCTCCTATGTATTCTCTGAATAGTCTTGTGTTATCTAGGGGGGTTGCCTCTAGTGATGGAAGAGTGGGGAATAGCAACGGTAGAAATGAAAATAAGAAGAATATCTGAGCTGAACCCATAATAATTGGTTGAAGCTTGATGACACTTCTTCTCTTTATAAAGCCCTGTGAGATCACACGTTAGTCAGGTAGGGAAACGAAACATTCTTTATAAGGGTGTGGAAACCTCTACCTAGCAACGCATGTTAAAAACCTTGAGAGGAAGCCCAAAGAAGACAATATCTGTTAGTGATGCTAGCGATGGGCTTGAGCTGTTACATTTAAACTCTGATGTAGAAATGGAGAAACATGAGATCCTCGTTGGCAATGGACGGCTACTAGGCAACTAATTTGTCAGTTATGAATTATTTGAGATATATTAGAACCTTGTTTTATCTCAAGAACTTTTGTTATTAGTTTGTAGAAAACAAAGGTTTCTAGGTTTTAACCATCATTCGATAACTTGAAGAAAACATTTCTTGACCGTTGGATGATGATATGTAGTTCTTTGGAATTCATGTATTTTGTTTGTTCTTTTGGTATTAGTCTGCAAATGTGTCATAGCAGGCATCTATCAAGAGTTATTGTATTTAGTTGGATTCGGCGTTATTAGTGAATTCACCGCCAAAACTGTCTATTGGCGGTTGTTCATTGGCAGCTAGCTAGTTAAATGCCCTATAACACCATTCATTTTAAAAGGTTTAGGGAGGTTATTTGTTGCGATGTAAGAGCATTTGGGTCTTAGATTAGAGGGTCGGGTTTGGTGTCGAGAACACGTGTTAACCTATTAAGTCATGCTTAGTAAAGAGGAGACGATTTTACATTTTTTTACAAAATGTAAGCGCCCACCTGGATTATTAGCAAGAAAGTGAATAGCAACAAATCCTCTATCCCCCACAATGATAATATTGAACTTTTGAGGATCTTTGTGCGATCTTGCATTTTGGTTGGAGAAAGGAACGAAAGGAATGAATCATTTCTTATAATGGTGTAGAAACCTCTTCCGACGTGTTTTAAAACTAAATTTTAAAGTTGTGAAACCGACGACGGTAACAAGCTAGAGCGGACAATTTCTGCTATCACGGCGTGTTTCGTGTTAAAATTCAATCCCACCAACGTCATCCCATTTCTCACCTCCTTGAAGTCGAAAACAAGTTCTGGGCCACTGGTAAGTCGGCCATGTAAGGCCCATTGGGCCGGCCTAATGGTGGGCCTGCAAAAGAGCCGTCCTGCGGCATATAAAAGAAAACGTTATTTATAGAGGCTCGCAATCATCGGCCCATTGGGCCCCTGACAAGCCTCGTTATTTATAGAGGCTCGCAATCATCGGCCCATTGGGCCCCTGACAAGCCCGATTCGGCTGGCGATTACACAGCCTCGTTCCAAGGCCCACTATGAAAAAGAAACGCTTGTCTTCGACAGTGAAGTTCGCAGCAAATACGGTGTCGTTCAGAGGCGGAAGGTTCGGCTTTAAAACAGAAGTCGTGGATTGTCGGCACTCTAAAATTCCGGCGACGGTGGAAATGTCGAATGTGCCTGGTTGTGTGGTGGAGAAAGGGCGAATGAGCATGTAGAATACGGCGTCGTTTTTGGGGGTCGGATTTTGTCGGTTTCCACGATAGTGAAGAACAAATCCTCATTCAGTGCTTCCAGCCTTCACGCTCAGCTCGTAAGTACCTGCATCCGCCAACTTTAATTTTATTCAAGCCAAAATTAATTTGAATTTATTAGATAATCAAATTGGTAATTTGGAGAATTTTCCATCTCTAAACTTTTGAGCTTAGATTAGAGGTGTTCATGGGTTAAGTTCGATCGGGTTAGGACATTTGTTTAAACCCAACTTAATTGTTTGGGTTATAATTTTTTTCAACATAATAACTCTTTACTAAATTAAGAATCTAACCAATAATATACTTGAACTGGGTTGAAATGATGAATAATAAGGTGAGGAAAATTAGTAAATTAAAATGGAAAAAGGGGAATTTTTGAAAAAGATAGATGAGAGGGGGAAGTGAGTAATGGAATTGGATGGGCATTTATTAGGTACTTCAATAATAAGAAACACAAGAGAAAAACAGACCGACCATTACAGAGATTTGGTGGAACGGTGATGGAAAGTTGTATTCAGAATATTTACTACTTTTGTTGTTTTTACGTACTTAGATGTGACTGATCATTAATCCCCTTTGTCTCCCTCATTTTCTGCCCTTTTTAAATCCTTCCCCAACCAATCTTCTTCTTCTTCCATCAAAAGTTTTATAAATATGAATGTAATGTTTAGAATTCCAATTCCAATTCCGCTCCCACATTTCAAATCCGAGTAGAAAAATCTAAGACACGAACCATAAAGAAAAACCTTTCTTAGATGTCTTTGGGGGATGAGAGTGATCACGAGCAGATAAAATTATCGCTAGTAGATATTGTTTTCTTTAGACTTTTCCTTTCGGGTTTTTATTATTAGGGAAAGGTTTACATACTCTTATAAAGAATGTTTCGTTTTCCTCTCCAACCAATGTGAAAAATCCCATATCGATGGGAGATAAGAACGAGGGTCAGCGAGAACGCTAGGCTTCAAACCTGATGGATTGGAAGATCCCATCTCGATTGAAAAGTTCTAAAAACAATATTAAATGATGTAATTGTTACGTTGATATACTAAATGATTTCTCTTTAATGATCTAAAGCAGCTGTCAATGAAGGTTTCAGAGGTAGGAGCTAAAGGGTTAGGGAGCGGTGAGAATGGGTTTGGCCTGACCGCAGTACGGCCCTGTTTGGGTTAGCTGACCGACTTGTTTTCCGTCCTGCCCAATCAATCACTCCATGCATGCCCACCTTCACTTTATTGCATTATTATTATTATTTAACACAATAATGAACATATAATTACACAAAATGTTACAAGGGTTGTTTTTGAACGAAGATAATTCAAGATAATTTTTTATTTTAATATATTTTTAGAAATTTCAAATCTATTTTGAATCAATTAATTATAATTTAAAAGGGGAGGAACTTGTTAAAAAAAATTAAATTAAATAGAAAAAAAGCTTTAAATTTATAATTTTAACTTTTTATAAATAAATAAAATGGGATGAAAAAAGAAAAAAAAAACTATAATTACGAAATGATGACGGGCAAGAGAGAAATGGTAGTAGTGGTCAGAAGGAGATGACCACAGCCTGGTTGACATAAGGAGCCGTCCAATCACCCATTCAATCCCATGCAAAACACACGACCCCCCCCCCCCCC